ATACCATGAGACTTTCCTGGGGTTCACTAGAATGAAGAAAGGGTGCCATCCCACTATTTACCAAAATTGCTTCTTGCCTTTGCAAGTTCAGCAAATCCTTTCCTCCTATGCTTCACTGAAAAGGCCTAAGGGAACTCAGTCTAATACAATGCTTAGAGTAAAAAGCCTGACAAGAGACAGGATGTGAAAAATGTTCCTGAAGGGCTAAAAAGTAAATGGTTTAATAATAACATGAATGAATAATCTCAATCCTGGGAATGTCAGGGTCATGTTGTTCTTTTACATTCCTAAATTTTAAACAAATGACAGAGTTGGATGAGTTAATTTAAGGCTTATTTTTAGTTTTAAAATTGATGATATTAATGTACCCTATTAAGACCACTTATTTCAGACTTAAGGACTTATCTGGGGATCCCAAATCCCAGTCCTATTCTCTAGTCCCTGTACCCCAGCACCTGTTAATATACTCTTTTAGAGCTTGAGAGAAAAACCCTAAGGATGCCTTTAACATTTATGCCTTTATAAAATATACTGGATGAAAGATAAGTTAGTAAGTGACACTAACCTCATGGTTAATTGGAATTTAAAACTTGATAAATATTCTTATATGTTACACATATTTCCAGAACCATATATGTGTAACTAGATGACCACAGATAACAATGAAACCTAGATTTGGGGAAATGTCAGTTGAAAGCATCAGTTTTTTAAATGAGTATAAACTTAAAATGCTATAACATTTAAATCTAGTTTAAGTGGTTATAATTCCAGTGAGTAGCTACTCTTGATATCATTCATCTCAGAAACGGGTGAATCCTGGGACAGGAAATGCAAACTGTCCCTGGATTGGGGAAGAACTTGCCCTTTCTCTGAGTACAAAGGCCAAGAAGGCCTGGGTTCTGAGATGTGAAAAGGCCGAGGGTAATTTTGTGGAGGAGAAGGGATGTCCCAGGAACTCAGTTTCACATGCCACGTGAACATAACGTGCCTGCTTTGTTAATGGTGGTGGTGATGGTGGTGGCAACGACAACAGAGTCATCAACAGCACAGATAAATAAGCAGTTCTGGAACAAGAGGACCAAGGGCTGTGCGGGGAAGCCACCAACACAAATGAACTTGAACTCAAGCAGGATGTAAGAAGAGCCACGTCTCCTCTCCAGGTATGAAAGGGGCATGAGCACTGCTTGCTCTGTGTAGCCCGGGGACTTCACAAGAGCCACCAACTGAAAGGCAATGGTGAAGAGCATGACAAGAAGTCTTGAGGGCTCTGCTCCAACGTGCCCACAAGGCAGTACACCAGGAAACCCTGGCAGAGAGGTGGCAATGACTTAAAGAGGGCTTTGCTTCCAGACTTCATTGCTCTAGACCTTAATAGTTTAGTAACATAAATAAATATGGAGAAATATAATGATAAGGCATAACACTGATTGCAAAAGGCACTAGAATATTCAAGTTTAAGTAGAATTTTAGATGCAAGTAGATTCAACCACCTGGAGGTAGGGGAGGAACCAGGGGGAAGGGCAGACATGACCCAAAAGCAGAACAAAAACTAAATGTACAAGAGAAAAAAAAAAGATAGGATAGTTGTATACCACCTGGTGCCCATAAGCTGTAATGGAAATTAAACATCTAGTTCTTTGCTAAACTTGGATGACAAAGAATATTCTGGTTTGCAAACCCTCGGAAGACATATTAGCCTTTGGGTTGTAGCTAAGAAAGGGCTTGATAAGCCAAACAAGGTAGCCTACCATCCCAAGTCACTCCCCAGACTATAATCAAATGGAAACACAAGATGGTGAGGGCATGGGCCTCCCCGACATGAAAGTGGGCAGTTCTCTGGAGTCACCCATGGGGTGGCAGCTGACCCAAGGGACGAACTGCATGAGAACATGTTAAATAAAGGAACAACAACTGACCTGGTTACCGGTCAGTAGAAATACATGAATTTCTGGCGTCTTTTCTCACCTTCTCCTCTCTTTTTCCATCTCTCTGCAAGAACCGGCTCTTAAAATAGGGGACGACAGTACTGTCCCTTAATGGCACTGTGAATTATTCGGGACTGCAGCAATCATCACGCCCATTACTCCAGCCAAACCTCTCTATGTCTTACGTTTAAGAAGAAGGGACAAACCCACCTGGATAAGAATCATTGTCAACAAATAGCAGTGTAAATCCATTTTATGGGCTCAAACCAATCAGTTACATAAGTAAAATGGAAATCACTGTTTTGAAACAGACAAACTGGATTTTTAGTTGAAGAAGTGCCTTACACAGGTAAGTGAATCTGACTCCATCATTTTACAGAGAGGACATGAAGACACAGAAGGACCTTCCCAATGGCACATGAGTTAGTGGCAAAGCTAGAACCTGAATTCAAGTCCCTGCTTTTCTTGGGAGATTGAGAAAATATTCAAATAGACTGTTAGGGACTATGATGCATGTATGCTTGTCATAGTTGGAGGAACTAGAGGTTTTTAACCCAGGAAGGGGATGATTTCAAGATCATAACTATTGCCAAATAGCTAAAGGACCAGCAAATGGATGAGGGCTTGACCTTGTTCTGTTGACCCCAAGGAAAGGAGGATCATTGGAAGGAGGTTAGAGGGAAGACTTTAGTGCTTTCATGGTTTTAGGTTTAGTTAGAGGGAAGACTTTAGTGCTTTCATGGTTTAGGTCAAAATTTTCCAAAACAATTTGTCGGGGGACAGTAAGTTTTCCATCACCTGAGGGATTTCAGAATAGACTGGGAGGTAATGTACTGTGTTTTGTCTATGGAAGGGGTGGGGCAAAGGGGGTGTGGAAGAAAGAGTTCAGGCATGAAAATCATTTGGATGGGGTGACCTTTAAGAGCATGAGATTCTTTACAACCCAGCACCAAATAAGGGTTTCATTCTTGCCTTTGAACTCCAAAACCTATCTTCCCATCTGTTTGCAATAGTTTAAATTTTAATCTATTTCATATTTCAGGGTATTATGCCCTGAATATTTGATTTGAATGCTGTGGCAGAAGGTCACTCATATTCATTTATTTTCTTTTACTCTTCTACACTTGCAGTGAGTCTTTTGAATCCATTATGCAAACACATGCAAATCATATGCAAATAGCATGGCCTCAGAAAATGACAAAATCCTATGGCCTTAACTGAGCCATCAAACTGTTCTTGAAAAAGAAAAGTAATACACCTTTTCAACGTCTCTGGGGCAGGAGACAATTTCCTGAGTGTGATATTTACATGACATTGGATTTGGTTAATCAGAGGAGTAATACATTCTTTACACTTATGTAGGACTTAAAGGTTAAGAAAGCATTTTCACATGTATGATCTCATTTGATCCTCATAATTATCCTGTGAGGTCAGCGGAACAGGAATTGCAATTTCTGTATTTTTCAGATGGAAAATAGACGAGTGGCATGACTTGTCCAAGTTCACTCAGTTGGTAATCAGTGCGCCTGAGGCTGAAAACTACGCTCCTTGGAGACCAGAGCTCTTGCCACGCACCGTGATGCCTTTGAAGCAAGATGGGCTGTCAGAGAGCTCGCTTGGGCTGTATTTTACCAAAAGCATCTTCAGAGCTGCTTCTGCTGATGAGAATCTGAGACTAGAAAAGCCTAAATATTAGTAGCAGCCCTCGCACAGAGCCTAGGCCATAGTTTCTCCAACCTCCTCTGCGTTTTAGCATCTGCTCTGACCTCTCCAGATGAAGAACTGTCTTCAGCCCATCCGTTTTTCACTCTTTCAGGAAGCAAAACTCTTTCTTAAACTCCGGAGGGTAACAGCACAGTCTCCACCATGGGACGGCGGATCTGAAGCCATCATCCACCATTTCCTAGGTGTGTGGCCTTGGAGAGGTAACTTCACTTTTCTAAGGATCCATTTTTACATCCGTAAAGAAGAGGAAATAACAGCAAACCTGGTGTCTGACATATAGTAGGTGCTCAATAAACAGTAGCTCCTCTAATTCTTGATTAGCAGTCATAAAACAGTAGTGGGAGCAGCGTCTCAAGTCACTCTGAATGCTGATGCCAAGAACTGGACTCTGGGTAATGGAATGGGGGACGGTGAGGCCAAGCAGCCCCTCTATGCCAGAAGGTTGGAAAACTACGTCTGAGGCAGCTAAATTCAGCCCAGGGAGGAATGTCTGAACTTTGACGTTCTTTAATCAACTACCCCATCTTCCACCATGATGAGGGTAATCTTGCTTCCAGCTATTTCTAAGAAGAAATAGAGCCCAGGCTGACATCCTTAACTCTTCTGTCTCAGCTGGACTGCTCTGTATACAGCAGTGTTCCCTGCTTCCCTGGGTCAGGTTGGAAGGAAAAAAGGAGGGATTGATTCCACCTCAGCTGCTTTATTAGGCCTGAATCACAGGGTCAAAGGATGGATGTGTCCTCCTCCTGTACCAAGACCAGAGGAAGGTGAACCAAGTGGCCTAGGCAGCAGCGGAGGCGCAAGGAGAGCAGCTATCTAGCTCCCTGGAGGTGATCTTGTTCCCCCCTGCTCCAGTTCCCACCTCCAGCAGGCCCGACCACCGATCTCAGACCTCCCATCTGCCCCCATAGCATGCTGTGGCACCTCTCCACATCCCTCATGTAGGACAATGACCAAAGTGGCTTCCTTTGTGAGGACAGCTTCTTGTTTCTCGCTTCCCTTTCTGGAAAGGGAGCAGAAGCTGTTGGAGTTAGCCAAACCCCTGAAGCTGGCTTCAGTCAATACCATCACATTGAGAGTCTGGGTGACCCACACCAGAGGGGTGCTCAAATGATTCATGCTTGCCAGGAAATGCACTGGGCCATTCTGGGGCTGGGTTCTCAGCTATTTTTGGTATGCAAAAGGAACTTCCCCTTTTTTTTTTTTTCACAGACCCAGCAAAAACTGAGCCATCAACAGCATTTCTTGTTCCCATATCACCCCTCTGAGCACCTCTCTGCCTGCCGAATTACTAAGGTCATTACAGTTTAATTCCATTTCTCTGCTCCAGACACTAGATAAGCCCACCAAGCTGGGGTTGCCTCGTTCCGGTGATGGCTCCCTGTGCCAGCTGCTTCCTGCTGGTGGTGATGTTTTCTGCCAGCTGCAAAGCCATCACCTCCTCGGATCAGATGTGCACTGAGGTGAGTCTGAACCGTTTGTCTTTATCCAGATTAAACTGCCTGGGAATCGGGAGTTTCAGCATATAGCCCCACCTGAGCCTTGGCCTCCCAATATCCATTGTCTTTAAAAAGGTGACATGGTATGTAGAAGTTTTTCTTTGGAGTGAAGAAGGAGCCGTAGAGCACAGCCAGGGATTGATCTGCGAGATTCTTCATTGCAAGGAGTGAGTGTTTTCCTCCTCTGCAAACAATTCCCTCAACATGATCCTAATAGGGCCATAAGATACCAACAGGGTCTCAGTGCAAAGGGCAGCTCTCCAAACGTGCTTCCAGCATGGAGGTGCTGTTTGTGCAGCATGCTAGCATACGGCCACTACTCCAAACAGTTTTTTGGTTTCCTGGAGATGAATGAAGATGGCTTGTGCCAGATTTGGGAGCAAATAAAGATCACTCTGAATGAGGCTGGCTTTCTCCTCACATTGGACAGCTCTCCATCTGTGTCATTAACCCACAGGAGTAACACTAGAGAATAGAGCCAAATTGCATCTTCTGTTTTGGCCCATAACAATATTTACCAACTTGTGGGAAGTTCTTGGAGAGGGTAATGAGAGAGAGAAAGGAGAAGGGCCTCAGTCTCTTGCCAACTTCTAAAATGCTGTAACCTTCCTCCCCCTGAGAAACTTCTCACAATTCTGGAGGCTAGAAGTCTGAGATCAAAGTGTCGGCAGGGTTCGTCTCTTCTGATACCTCTCTCCTTGGCTTGTAGACAGCCATCTTCTCCCTGTGTCTCCGCCTTGTCTTCTCTCTGCTGTGGCTATTCCTGATTTATTCTTCTCATAAGGACACCAGGCAAACTGTAGTACGGCCTATCCTCAAGATCTCATTTTAACTTTAACCTCTTTAAAGATTCTCTTTCCAAATAAAGTCACATTCTGGGATACTCAGTTGAGACATATGCTTCTGGGGGCAACACAAATCAGCTCACAGCAGAAGGGGTCAAGGATGCAATTTTTATCAACCCCAGGAGACCGCCTTTCATCACGCAGGTTGGCAGGTCAATTACACACAGACATGTAGGGGACATGGTAAGAGGGTCGGAGTGGGCACACCATTTCCTCAGTGATCAGGTTGGTAGGTCACCCATTGTCTGACAATATCTTCAGGTAGGATAGCAGCACAATTAAATTCCAGCTCACTGGCAAGCAAACTATTTTAAATGCCCCATGCTTCAGCCTACCAGCTCAACTCTTAAGTCCCTGCATTGCTACAAAGCCCACACAGCCCTTCAGAAGCCCACAAGGGAGGCGTGGGAGACTCTGGAAAGCCCATGGAAATACTGAACCAGTCTAGCTTCCTATTGAGGACACTAGGTTCCAGAGTCGCCAGTTGTTTTTGCAAATGGCCCCAGCTTGGGCAGAGGAGAGGGAACAGCAGCAGGCTGAGCACCCCAGGCTCATATTGCTGCCTATCCCAGGGCCTGCCTGCTACAGGGGTGGCGGAAGTGATGCTGAGTGTCCCAGGATGTCCAGGCCCGGCCCTATGCTGCAGCAAGAGCCTTCCCTTTTGGTTGAGTCAGGAGAGACTGACACCTCTTAATACAACAACTTCTTTTTAACTCTCCCTCTGAAAGGACTGATTTTCAACACCTTGGATCCAACACAATTAACCTTAGATTTCTACTTTGATTTATACCCTCTATCGTGTAGGAGTTCTTGGTAACAGGATTTTCAGGCTGTTTCCTGAGCTGTCACTCTGTGAATACCGGGGTGTTGCTAGGGGATACAAAGATGAATGAAAGTTTGTTCCAAAGGTAAGGAAGGAACTTCTGGGCAGCCCCAGACAGGGAGTGGTGGCAGGAGAAGCACTGACCTTTTTTCAAGTGCAAATCACCCAAATTTGCCTAGCCTTCCCCCTTGCCATATTTGCTCTTTTGTGCTTCCCTCCAATTTAAGCAGAACCACATACTGTTTATAATGTTTCTATGGCCTTCATTGGCTTATCAGACCCTATCCTAAAAATAAGGTTTTTGTTTTGCATTATTTTGAGTTCAATAAGCCTTTCATTGAAGTATAACACACAGAGAGAACATTCACCAATCCTGAGTGCACAGTTCAATGAGTTTTCACCAAAGTGAACACGTCCCCGTGATCTGCACACAGATGAAGAAACAGCACATTCTCAGAAGCCCCCTCCTGCCTCTCCCCAGTCACTAGCTCCCAGGGGTATCCAGTACCCTAACTTCTATTACCAAAGAATGATTTTGCTTCTTTGTGAATTTTATATACAGGAGACCACATGGTATAGACTCTTTTGTGTCTGGCTTCTTTTGTTCAGCATTAAATATATGACATTTACCAAAGATGCTACATACAGCAATCATTGATTTTATTGCATATTGTATATTTTTTTCTTTGTGTATTGCAGTATGCTGCTCTATTAGTGAACCACTATTTATTTATTCATTCTTCTGTTAATGGCCATTTGCACTGCTTTCAATTTCTTGGTTATTATAAATGCTACTGCCTTGGACATTTGTATATATGTCTCTAGAAAATAGATGTGCTGATCTTGATTAGGTATATACCGGGCGGAGGGGGGATGTATGTGGTCATCCGGTGTACATGTATTAATTTCAGTAGATATTGTAGAGTTTTCCAAAGGGATGGTGCCCATTTATACTCATTGGCAATGTTTATGAGTTCTGATTGCTCTGTATCCTCATTACTAGCCTATTATTTAAGAATGTTAACCATTCTGATGGATAAGTAGTGGTATTTCACTGGGATTTAATTTTTATTTTCCTGATGATTAAATTGAGTACATTTTCAACTCTATTGGCCATTTGCATATCCTTATGTGTGTATTTGTCTGTCGTGTGTGTGTGTGTGTGTGTGTGTATGTGTGTTTGAGAGAGAGAAAGGAGAGAGAAAGGGGAGAGAAAAAGAGAAGCACCTTCTCAAGTCTTTTGCCCATTTTCCATTGGGTCATTGGTCTTCTTAAAATTGCTTTGTTAAGGGCTCTTTATGAATTGTGGATACAAGTCCTTCATCAGATTGCAAATATCCTCTGCCACTCTATGGCGTGCCTTCCCACCCTCCTAATGATACCTTTCAGTGAACAGAAGTTCTTAATTTTAATGTAGGTTAACTTGTTATTGTTCCTTTATTTTCAGTACACTTCTGTCCTGCTTAAGAAATTTTTGCTTACCCCAAGACCATAAAAGGTATATCCTATGTTTTTGGAAGTATGCTTTGTACTTAAATCTATGGCCCACCTTGAATTATTATTTTTTCTTTGCATATGATGTAAGGCGGGAGTCAAGACGAATTTTTTTAGTAAACTTTTTATTTGAAAAAAATTTACACTGAGGGGGACACTTGACGGGATGAGCACTGGGTGTTCTTCTGTATGTTGGTAAATTGAACACCAATAAAAATTAATTTATTAAAAAAATTTAAACCTAGACAAATTCTAAAAATATAGTGAACATCTATAAACACCTCGTGTGGAATCTTCCCTTGTTCTATTCTACATGTTCTCTCTCTCTCTCTCTCTCTCTCTCTCTCTGTGTGTGTGTGTGTGTGTGTGTATGTATATCATAAGTAACAAATTAGTGCCATGACCAGGTGTTTGGAGGCTGACAAATGTGCAAAGCATAACTGGAATAAGTGTTCTGTGATTTGGATTCTGCTAACACTTTTGACGTACTCTCGAATGATTACTTTGGAGTGTAGACATGCCTACTCATTTCAAATGGGCTCATCTTGGCTCCCTGTCCCCTCAAAACTATGGGAGGGGGCAGTCCTTTAGTCTTAGGGCGGGATGGAGAGCACTTAATAGAGCTTCTTTTCAGAACTCTAAGTTCACAAATTCACAGATTCAAGCCCTTCTCAAGAGTCCTCAACAATGACATGATGTCCTGATGATCCTGTGAAACCTGAACTCCTCTTGTTAATTATCACATTAACCTTCAGAGTTGGCCCACAAAGAAGGTTATCCCCCATCCACAGTTGGGAAAAGATAAGTCTCAGAGAACCCACTGGCTGCAAGATGGGATTTGAACCCAAGCAGTCTGTCTCAAGACAAATAGAAAATGAACTGCATATAACTGGGATGCCCTTTGCCTAGAGGAGTCACGTAGACAACCAAGTTTTAGGACTGTGTCCTCCTGGGAATATTTTGTTTTCAGAGAGTGATTGTTACTCCAAAATTTGATCCAGTCGCACTGTGCTATCTCTGGAAAGAGGAGTGACAAATGGAGGGAGGGTCAGCATTCAGCATCCCAGACTCTTCACGCATGGGCGATCTGGCCATGGTGTGTGCCAAATGCAGACGAGACATTGGAAAGGTGGGAATCAGCATTTGGTGAAACTCAAAAGGTTCAAAATTAGAAAATCATTTCGACACTTTTGAGAAGGGAAAATACAATGGGAAAGTTAGAGATACAGCAGAAGGAAGCAAAATAAGATCCCGACTGAAAAAATGCAAACGAATACCAGGAAAGAAAAGGGATTGCAAACACAGAGGTAACACTTGGGAGTCCTGCTCTGTGAAAAGGCACAGCTCTGACATGAAGCTAGAGACAAAGTGGTAGGTGCAGGTTCCAGGGCACACTGGGTCCTGAGTAAATGCCCCACGACTTAGAATAGGGGTAGGCATGGGGTGGCTGCTGTGAACACCATGGAGCCCTGCCCGGCCCTGCTGCCTGCGTGAGCTCACGTCCACAGGGGACCCGATCGAAATGGAACCACCAAAGAAGGAGGGTGAGGATGTCATTTTAGGTGGTGACTTTGCACTGAGGGTAGAGAATGAAAGCTGGTTTCGTAGGAAGTGGTCATGTGGAGCTCAGAGGAACCAGAGAGGCTGCACAGACTGTGGTGGGTGTCTTCTGGAGAAGCAACTGAACACGTGTCCCTGGCAGCCACCCGAGCCCTGGGCAGAATGGCAATGGCCACGCTGTATTCGTTTTCTGCATCCTGTCCCTTCCTGCTCTCTCGCATTGTCATTCTACCGTCCTGGAATGCTGTACTCTGCTAATTCAACTCACTCTCATAAAGGTTTGAGATGGATCCTGACAGTGAGAAGAACACAACCTCACTTGTGCAGAATTCCTAGCAAAAATGTGTAACCTGAATCAAATCATGAGGAGAGATCTGAACCCCAAGTGAGAGACATTCTGTGTTTGGTTTAAAAAATATATATATATATTTTAATATTAAGTTATATTATATATATGCCATGAGAGACATTAAAAGGCCAAGGAATTGTCTCAGATCAAGGGAGCCTAAAGAGTCATGAAAACTAAATGCAATGTGTGAACTTGGATTAGGAAAACAAAATTACAATGAAGGACAGTATTAGGACAATGGCCAAAATGTGAATATGAATTGCATGTTGGATAGTATTGTACCAATGTTCAATATTTGGAATTTGGTAATGGCACTGTGGTCACGGAAGAGGTGTCCTGTTCTCAGGAGATTTAGGGGTAAAGGGACATCATGTCTACAATTTACTCTCAACAGCAATAAAAGGAATGAGAGTAGTGTGTGTGTGTGTGTGTGTGTGTGTGTGTGTGTGTGTGTGTGTGTACTTCCTGCCTTAAAAAGTACAATAGACTGCAGCACCTGGCTGGCTCAGTCTGGTAGAGCATGCAACTCTTGATCTCAGGGTTGTCAGTTTGAGCCCCATGTTGGGTATACAGATTACTTAAAAATGAAATCTTGAAAAAAATATGATAGACTGAAAACAATTTAATGCTGCTTGAGTGATTCCAGAGCACAGGGAGCTTTGTGTCACTATCCATAATAGCATCTGTGATTGTACAGGAGTGTGACTATGAAAGTCAAAGGGGAGGGGCCGTGTGAGTGTGTATGTGTGTGTGTGTGTGTATCTTAGCACATTCTCCCAAATGTGCTTATTTTTCAAATTCTCTTATAAGCTGCAATTCTTGTCATTTGCTTCTTTCTCAGGAATCAAGGGCAGAGAGTTGATTGCAATTTATACCTAACTAGAGATTCGTGTATGACACGAACTCATGGTGGGTTTCTCAATACTCTGTGGTTGTGTTATCCACTGGTTCTCAGTTTTTCACTGGGTTGAAACTGAGCTATTTCATTTATCTATCTTTGAATTTGCTAGAAGCTCCCTCAGGCCACTGGCTTGGCAGAGCTCCTGCAGTATTCTCAACTTTCTGAATTGCATTAATGCAGTAAAGTGCTTAGTAAAGCACAGAAGAGGACTCATTTAGGTGTCATGGGCACTTATATATTCAGGAGAAGGAGGAAATTGCCAGCGTGGAGGCTTTTGCTGTAGAGTAGAGCAAGACAAATTGAGGAAAGGTCCCTTTTTCCAAGTGTATGTGACATCAGTTATGCCAGTGGAGATGAGTAAAGGGAAATGTCTTCTCAAAGCTTCCCCAAATCTTAGCAGCTACTCAGGCAGCAATTGCGCATACCTCTCCTCTTGGGGCCATCCATGTTCACGGACAAGGAAGAGAGGTCTAGCAACATGTGTTTTTCTCCCCATTCGGCTAAGTTTTAAACACAAAGTGTGCATTTCAAGGACATTAGGTGGATCTGTGGCAACGGCTAGAGGACTTTGGGCCTATAAAATGAAGAATGAATTGCAAGGAAAGAAAAATACAGCGTTTTCATCAATGACATTCATAATATTATCACAACAGAGAAGAAAACTGGTGATTTCCTGTAGGTGAGCTTGCTCAGTGCACCTACAAAAATGAGTGCCACTGAACAGAAGTTGGAATAAAGCTAAAAGCAATTAAAATGGGGATGTGTATAAAGCACCAGGATTCATAATGGAGGATGTGCTCAGTCTTCTGTTTCCAGCTAAGCAGGACTGTTTGCAGCTCAGTGTGTGGACAGCTGGTGAGCTCAAGTCTGATGGGGCAGGTCTTGCCCAGACCAGGGCAGTCTCAGTGGGCTGCTGGTAGAACCACTGCATGATGAGGAGAAAGGCAGTGTCTGAAAGGGTAGATGAAACCCCATGGAGTCTGACATGATGTGAGAGGTGGCCCCCAGGTGCATTCCCTGCAGACCAAGGGCTACTCTATTATTAGTTTAGGTTTTTTGTTTTGTTTTGTTTTGTTTTTAAGATTTATCCATTCATTCATGAGAGACACAGAGAGAGAGGCAGAGACACAGGCAGAGGAAGAAGCAGGCTCCATGGAGAGAGCCCACTGAGGGACTCCATCCCGACTCCAGGATCATGCCTTAAGCAAAAGGCAGATGCTCAACCACTGAGCCACCCAGGCATCCCTATTATTAGTTGGTTTTATCTCTTATAGAACTTTTGTCTCTTTGTCTCCTTTGGCTTTTATCTCTTTGTCTCTCTTGTCCCACCCACCCCTCTCTCTACTTCCCCAACACATTCACCAGTCAGTGAAAGGAAGTAATTCAATAAAATGCCCCATCTTCTTCATTTAGCTGACTGCTACCTAGTGATGCTAGTTGACCTAAATCCCTCCTATCACCTGGAGACTGTATGTTAAGCCTAAAGTCTTGGATGCAGATTTAATGCTGGGGGGAGTGGGACGGGGAGAGGCATGAATACCTCATGAGTGGAACTGTCTGCTTAATATTGTCTCACATCAGAAAGTATGTAATGTTAGGATTGTCTTGTTTTAGTGATGCTAATGCAGAGTTGTTTTCAAGCTGACATAACACATTTCTATGCAACCAAAATCAAAACTATGAAACCAAGTTTCATCAAAGAAATCTTGTTTCCTTCCCTGCTTCTCTATTTGGTTCCTTTCTTCCCCTTCAAGGCGATGAGTTTTGGGCTTTTTCCCATGGTTTCTTTTTGCAAATATAAGAAATATGCAAACCTTTCTTACAGAAAAAGTAGCATACAAGATGCTACATGCTACATACCATATGCTCTACACACTATATGTCCTTCTGTACCTGGCTTTTTATACCTTACAACATACCTGGATATCACTCTACTCTATATCAGCATGTGGAGATCTTACGCATTCCAGTTTCATCTGTAGAAGGTTCCATCTTGTGAAGGTACCGTATTTTGTTCAACTAGTCCAATATTGAAGATCAGTTTGGCTATGGCTCATCTTTTGATATTACAGAAATGACTGAAGTTAATAATCCACATGAATCACTTTGTGTCTTTGCAGGAATGTACTTGGTAAAGAGCTAGAGGTGCCATTGCTGCTCAAAGGATAGAACATATGTAATTTAGCTAGTTAATCAAATTACCAGCACTGATATTAATGTACATTGTTTCTCTCATCAGAAAGAGGCCAACAAGACCTATAACTGTGAAAATTTAGGTCTTACAGAAGTTCCGGACACTCTCCCCAACACAACAGAATTTTTGGAATTTGGCTTTAATTTCTTGCCTACAGTGGAAAATACAACTTTCAGTAGACTCATAGATCTTATCTTTTTGGACTTAACCAGGTATGTATCTGAGTTCCTTGTCTGTGGTTGATGTTTTACTCATGTGATAACACAACTTGCATTCATATTGTTTCCAGGACCTTCTTTTGGGAGCACAGGGACACTATCTTGCATGTTCACTCTTTCCAGAAAATATTTTTCTGCAAGTGAAGTGTAATATTTAAAAAAAACCCAGTCAGTGGAGAGAAAAATGGATTATTTTCAAACTAGAGTGCATCAGCAGCGTTAAGAAGTTCTAAGGAATGTTGATTTAAAAAAAAAACAACAAACCCTGAAAACAAATCTTGTATTAAATCAGATGCCATAGTTTATTCTTGCATGATGACATTTTAAGAAAAATTTACAGGAGAAATGCATAAGCTACTAACTTTCCCCCCCCCATAAGTTGGGAAAATAGTTCCATTATTTAATTTTTGAAGCAGAATTGGGATTCCAAATGCTGAACCAGTGTTTGTGAACCAGCAAGCAGAACTATCACAAGAATGTAAGGGCAGAAATCAGAAGGGAAATGCAGCATGCACACGCACGTGCTGTGTGTGTGTGTGTGTGTGTGTGTGTGTATAGCAGGAGAGGGCTTTGCGTGTGGATGGGTCTGCGTCCCCTGTAGCAGCTCTATTTCTTTGGTGGTTCAATGTATGCTTCCACAGCGCAGCAGAGCATTCACACCCGTGAGACGCTTCCATCTTTATGAGCACCCCTGGGGGGCAGGCATGCTGGATATTATCTCCAACTCATGTCTGACGAGGAAAGAGAGGCTCCAGGAGATTTTGTGAGTTAGTTTAGGGTCACAAAGTAAGGAAACTGGGACTCTGCTCTCTTGACTCCCAGTCTACGATCCCCCAAATGACCCCAGGCCTCTTCCAGGGGCAAGATTCCAGGTGCTGCGTAGCAACACTTCACTGAGACAGAGCCATGGTCTTTCAGACAGGGACAAAGATCATTCTGCTCCCTACCCATTGTGTCCCCAGGACATACACCTTCCCTCTGCTTTACCATTTCTCATTTTTAGATGGAATGGGTTTGGCCACATTTTGAAGGAACGCGTGGGGTCAGGATAGCTTTTCCAGCTAGGACTGGCTGGACTCTAAGTTTCCTCTTCTGTTATTTTCAAATAAAAACGTGACCTTATTATTTTTTCTCAACTCCCTCTCCTTAGCTCCCTCAGCCCCTGCCCTTTACCCGATCACCAATCAGATGCTATTTTTATTCCTTTAAACAGCCACATTTCTTGAGCTTTACCGTGTTTTCCGTTTTTTTGGCTCATTCTTACATCTTGCTTTTCAGACTTTCTCTTGGCATAATTTCCCCTTTCTCCTGAGGTACACACGTAACAGTGTCTTTAGTGAAAGTCTTTCTGCACTAAACTCCCTTGGTTTTTGTTTTTGTTTTTCCAGAAAGGTCTTTATTTCACTCTGATTATTGAAAGACAGTATTTCCTGACATGATTCCAAGTTGATTGTTTTTTTTCCTCAGCCTGTTGATGGCTGCCATCTTCCCTTGTCGCTGCTGGACTGTCTAATCACCGCGTACATGCACATCATCTTTTCTCTCTGGGCATTTCCAGTAGGTTCTCTCTGTCTTTGGCATTCTGTAATACCACAGTGCTGCACCATGTAGATTGTTGGGCTCCTTGAATCTGTAAATAGTGCCTTTCGTCAATTCTAAAATATTCTTAAAAAAAAAAAGAAAGAAAAATAGTCTAGCCATTGTTTGTTTGAAACCTGGCTTGCTTACATTCACTCTTTCATATCCTCTGGATCTCTGATTTGATTTATAGCATCTTCTCATCCATCAGTCATATATGCCAATATACTTTCCTTGTTTTCCATCAATTTGGTGTTTTGGACGATATTCTAGGTCATTTTCTCACATCTACTTTTACTCCATTAGTATCCTCTTCAACTGTGTCTAATCTTTTGTATAAACTGTTTTTGGTTTTTCAATTTCATTAACTTCCTATTTCAGTACATTTCAACGACTTTTCGTTTTTATAAATATGACACATCAGTTTTAATAAGTTTTTCCTTCATCATATAATTGGTTCATACCATTTCCTTAAAACACATCAAACACATGTTTCATAGATGTAGATTTATTATATATTCTGATCCTGTATATCAGGTATATCACACATTTTTTATAAATCATATATATAATATCAGATATTCCTCATAATTCCGGTATCTGCTATCTACCTGACTATGTAGAACATTTTTTTAAGAGATTTATTTATTTACTTAAGAGAGAGAGCATGAGCAGGAGGGGCAGAGGGAGAAGGAAAGAAAACCTTAAGCAGACTCATGCTGAGTGCAGAGCCTGATGTGGGCTCCATGTTATGACCCTGAGATCACAATCTGAGCTGAAACCAGGGGTCTGACACTTAACCCACTGCACCCCCCGGTGGCTCCATAGAACATTTCTTTTTTAACTGACTAACTCCCTTATGTGTTCACTGAAATTTTACTTTGAGCTCATTTGTCTTTTGAAACTTGATGGAAATCTTTGTTTAAAATACTTTCCTGGGGATCCCTGGGTGGCGCAGCGGTTTGGCGCCTGCCTTTGGCCCAGGGCGCGATCCTGGAGACCCGGGATCGAATCCCACGTCGGGCTCCTGGTGCATGGAGCCTGCTTCTCCCTCTGCCTATGTCTCTGCCTCTCTCTCTCTCTGTGTGTGTGACTATCATAAATAAATTTAAAAAAAATTAAAAAAAAAATAAAATAAAATACTTTCCTGGAATTAGACAATGGCATTATGGCTATAGAAAATAAGCTGATGTAGGTTTTTTTTTTTTTTTGGAGATGCACAATGAAATCTGTACAGCATATCTGGGATCTGATTTAAGATAATTCAGGCATGAGAGGTGTGAACAGAAGCAGCAAAGGGGGCACCTGGGTGGCTCAGCAGTTGAGCGTCTGCCTTGGGCTCAGGGTGTGATCCTGGGATCAAGTCCCGTGTCGGGCTCCCCTCAAGGAGCCTACTTCTCACTCTGCCTATGTCTCTGCCTCTCTCTCCATGTCTCTCATGAAAAAATAAAATCTTAAAAAAAAAAAAGCAAAGCAGCACATACGGCAACATTTCAAGAACTGTTGTGACTGTGTGACAGATCTATGAAAGTTGTACTGCAATCTTTACTTTTATGTGAATGTGTAAGTTTTCCATATTAAAAGTTAATTAAGTAGATACACTAGAAGAAAAAACATACATAGAAGAAATTTTTATTTACTCCTGCTAGTTATCTGAAGTCACTATCATTCTGGAACCACTTTAAACTCAATTTCTATGCTGGCTTCTTTTGGGTGGTCCACAGAGGTAGCATCAATTCAGGCCACAGTCCTCATGAATGGAAGCATATGATTAGAGAATCTCAGAGGAGACTTCTTTCATTATTGTTGTTATTCCATCCAAGAAAACACATATTCTCAAGTTCATCCTCTATGAACTTTTTTTAAGGTCATCCACTGAAAAGATCCCTTTTGAGGGTCTTGATGGTTTGCAGGTCTTTGATAGGACCTCCTAACCTGTTTGGATCCCAACCTTTGTTACCTGACATGGTGCACATGACTTAGTTTAACTCCGGCTCTAGGCCACTCAGGCCTGGTAGACAGTGGCAGATGGGACAAGGCTAGCTCTAGGGCTCCCTTGCTCCCAGGGATTCCAACTTCTTTTTCTAAGGGAATTAGAACTCTAAGGAATTCCCTTATTGATCTCCCAGGGAGTTTTGAGTGTGTGTGTGTGTGTGTGTGTGTGTGTATGCACAATCCAGTATTTTCAGGTGAAATACCAGGATGAAACCTTTATTGTATTTCTATGGAGTATTTTCATATGTATCATTTGACTAACAGCTGTTGCACATCAAAGTGCTCATCATTTCTGTACTTTATAGAAGCAACAACAGAGGTTGAGATACATTGTGACTTGCCCAGGATGACACAGATACATACATTACATATCATATGTTATATACTAAATGTTAGAGATGACATATTATATATTAGTTAAAATAGTAAATCATTGGATTTTGCCCACAATCAAACTGCTAACTGTTCCCTAAATTCTAAACATAAATCTCTGAGAGTTCAATCCAAAGGGGCAAGACATCTGGAAGAAATTCTAAATCAGAGTTTTCAGAACTGAGGGTAACCATTGATTCAACAGATCATCTGTTGGTACTGAAGATAGTTTTTTTCTGTTTTATTTCAAATAATAACGTATACTCTTTTTACTAAACACAAAAGATGGCTTTGTTAATACAGGTCACTATGACAGAGTTTTTCTTTTTTCCAACTAATTATTGTTCAATACTATTATCTTTTCAAGGTGCCAGATTAACTGGGTACATGAAGATACTTTTCAAAACCATCATCAATTGAACACAATTGTGTTGACTGGAAATCCCCTGATATTCATGGCAGAAACATCTCTTAATGGGCCCAAGTTGCTGAAGCATCTTTTCTTAACCCAAACAGGAATATCCAATCTCGGCTTTATCCCAATGCACAATCTGGAAAACTTAGAAAGCTTGCATCTTGGAAGCAACTATATTTCCTCTATTAAGTTCCCAGAAAACTTCCCAATCCAGAATCTGAAAGTCCTGGATTTTCAGAATAATGTGATACACTACCTCTCTAGTGAAGACATGAACACTCTGAAGCAGGCCACCAACCTAAGCCTTAATTTCAATGGCAATGATATTAAAGACATTGAACCTGGAGCTTTCCATTCAAAAATCTTCCAAAGTTTGAAATTTGGAGGGAGTCTTAACTTGTCTGTTATATTAAAAGGTCTACAGAACACTACTACTAAGTCTCTCTGGCTGGGGTCATACGAGGACACTGATGACCAAGACCTTACTTCAGCCATGTTTGACGGACTTTGTGAAATGTCTGTTGAAAGCATCAATCTACAGAAGCACTATATCTCTGATCTCTCATCTGCTACATTCCGGTGCTTTACTCAACTCCAGGAGTTGGATCTGACGGCACATCACTTGCGTGAGTTACCCTCTGGGATCAAGGGTATGAAAGCTCTCAAGAAATTAGTTCTCAATGTAAATAGATTTGACGAATTGTGTCAAATCCATGCTGCCAGTTTTCCATCCCTTACAGACCTTTCTATAAAAGGCAACATGAAGAAACTTGACTTCGGTGCTGGGTGTTTGGAAAAACTCGAAAACCTTCAGAAACTTGATTTAAGCCACAGTGATATAGAGGCTTCTGACTGCTGCAATCTTCAGCTCAAAAACCTGCGCCACTTACAATACCTAAACCTGAGCTACAATGAGCCTCTTACTCTCCAGAGCCAGGCGTTCAAAGAATGTCCTCAGCTAGAAGGTCTAGATTTGGCATTTACCCGCTTGCACATGAAGGGTCCACAGAGTCCTTTCCAAAACCTCCATCTCCTTCAGGTTCTGAATCTTTCTTACTGCCACCTGGACACCAGCAATCAGCACCTTCTAGAAGGCCTGGAGGGTCTCCGCCATCTAAATTTACAGGGGAATCACTTTCAAGATGGGAGTATCTCAAAGACCAGCCTACTTCAGACCCTGAGCAGCTTGGAGATTCTTATTTTATCCTCCTGTGACCTCCTCTCCATAGACAAGCAAGCGTTCCAGAGCCTTGGGAAGATGAATCATGTTGACTTAAGCTACAACAGCCTGACAGGCAATAGCATTGATGCTCTTAGTCATCTTCGGGGTATCTACCTCAATATGGCCGCCAATAACATCCACATCATCCCATCTCCTCTCCTTCTCACCTTGTCCCAGCAGAGCACCATTAACTTAAGTCACAATCCCCTGGACTGCACCTGTTTGAATATTCATTTTATAACATGGTACAAAGAAAACCTGCAGAAATTTGAGGGCTCGGAGGAGACCGTGTGTGCAAACCCCCCAACTTTAAGGGGGGTTAAGCTGTCTGACGTCAAACTGTATTGTGGTATTACGGCTGTGGGCATTTTCTTTCTTGTAGTATTTTTATTCTTGGTTACCGTTCTGCTCATTTTTTTCATTAAATTCCTTCTGAGGTGGAAATACCAGCACATCTAACATTGAAGGTTTCTAGAGATGGCAAGTAAGTGTGTTTAGCAAAATTGCCCCAAGTAAAGGAACTTGTTGTGCTCCTTCTCAGTCTGTCAGACTTTTCAGATGGCAAGTAAGTGTGTTTAGCAAAATTGCCCCAAGTAAAGGAACTTGTTGTGCTCCTTCTCAGTCTGTCAGACTTTTCAGACTGGTTCCTGCAGCTGGGCAGGGATTCTCTGTGCTTCTCTGAGTCCTAGAGCTAATGAACCTTCCTGGAACATAAACAGACCAGGGCCAGGGGGCCAAGCAGCAGCTGTGAGAGACACAGAGCTGTTTCTTCACATGGAAGGTGGTTGGAGGACCTGTGGCATGGAAAAGCCAGGAGAGGAATGTGCTAAGAGGCCATCTCCCTTCTGCTTGTGGACACCCCCTCGAAGCAGCTTCTACCCTGACCCTAAAAGGAAATCAACTCTCATAATCAGGCAATGCTGACTGCCCCAGCCCAAACTCTGCCTCCCACAGCTTGGACATCATGCTTGCCTCTGAGTCCTCAGTAAGGCAGTCGCTTGAAAAACTTGTTGAGGACAAAGTCTCAATGCTTATTTTAAATGAAAAAGGGAATACACAGTGAATTTAAAAGAAGAAGCTGAGAAATGAATCTTGACATCAAATCGGCTACACTAAGCTCCTTAATCCTCAAGTCTACGGCTTCTAGGAAGCCACTTAGAGTACAAATAGCTACCAAAAAAAAAAAAAAAAATGCAACCCCACCAGCTCTGTAGCCTCCAAGGTCTAAGAGTTCTGCTGCATTGGCCACTCTCTCTTCAGAACCCTTGGATGTTCCTTCTCCCTATCCAGTGTGCTTGCTCTTATGCTACAAATGCTCCTTACACATGGGCTGTGGTTCAAATGCTCTTCTCATTTGGATGTCTGGCCCTTAAAAGCTTCTTTCTTACAGGAACTATGAAATAAATGGTGGTTTGGTTCCCAGGTCAGCTCTCAAAAGTCTATTCACCTGGGACAGCAGTTGAGACAGCGTATTTACAGTGAACACCAGGTGAAGAAAGCATCTCCGTACACTAGCTGTCTAGAACACAAGAAGCTGGCTTAGTGAGCTTCTGCTGAGGCTGGGGTGTCAGCGATGGTCATACCAGAGGAAAAGAGAGGACAAGACCATTGAATGTAGACAGAGAGAGAGAGGACAGGGAAGGGGAAGGTGTTATGACTTTGGCCTTACAAGGTCCAAAGGGTCATACTTATGGAGGGCTTGACCTTCTGCATTTTGCACCGGCTGACCGAGAGCTGAAATCTCTACTCAGGCGTTACATTTATATGGCCTGGAATTCTAGAACTAATAACATTGATTAACTTTCATATCTAACTGGAATATATTAGCTCTTCAGGTGAGGGCATAAGAGGGGAACATATTAAGGGTGGAAACGTGGGGAGAGCAAGCTCTCTTTACCTCTGTATCCTCGAGAACAGCAAGAAAGACAGGAAATAGTGAAGAAATGCCACAAACCTCTATTGCGAATGCTCTGCTACCCTTAGGGGGATTTTTGTTGCCTGTAGTATTCGGTGGGAGGCCAGATTGTCTCAGTTGTTCTTGGTTAAGAACACAAGGTGGGGTCTAAGGTAAAATGAGAGAAGCATTTGCCTTGGGTGCAAAATTTAAAGGGGAACCAAAAAACTCAGTGTGCAAGACAAAAATATTTTAATGCAATATTAAAAAAAACTTCAGGTTAATGAAAGAAATCCATGGTAAGTAAAATATCAAAGCTTTAAAAAACAGGATCCATAATAATAGCCCCATGCTGAACCACATTAGAACCTGAGGAAAAAGGCAAGATCAGTAATGCTGATCCCACCTTTGTTTAAAATGTTGATAATTTGTTCACATTTGAGATTTTGTATCAGTTTTCTACTTAATATCACATTAAAATACTATCTTCATTATTGAGTTCTTCAGTGCTCCCTTCAATTTAGCGCCCAGGGTGGGTGTCTCACTGGCCTCACCCTGTTCTCACCCTGAGGAATGCATAGAAGTAGGGCTTCCCAGCTAACTCCCAGGCCACAGTCCACCCAGGGCCTATTAGCAGGCATGTTATCTCAGTTTTACTCAGAAGTGCCTACCCCTTGTCCCTTACTTTCTGGAAGCAGGTCAAAGTGTCCAAGAACTTATACCTTGTTCCTCATCCTCAGGTAACTCCCAACTCCTGAGCTCAAAGGCAACCTTCCTTCAAAGCCAAGACAGGTGGCAGAGATGAATGGGCACCATATCCCCCTGAGCTCTAGGAGGCCTGGACCTGATGAGCAAGGGCAAGCGGGGCACCACTCTGCTAATGAAATGAAACATCACACAATTAGTGGCTTTAATTACCTTGAATATCAGTGTTTGGGAAAACAGGTGCCTAAGGTAGCCATTTAAAGATGTGTGTAGGGACACCTGGGTGGCTCAGTGGTTGAGCAACTGCCTTTGGCTCAGGGTGTGACCCCGGGGTCCCATGATCGAGTCCCGCATTGGGCTCCCCATAGGGAGCCTGCTTGTCCCTCTGCCTGTGTCTCTGCCTCTCTCTGTGTTTCTCATGAATAAATAAACAAAATCTTAAAAAAACAAAACAAAAACAAAGATGTGTGTGGAAGGAGAAAGTAAATGGTAGAAATATGGGAGATTGGGACTCACTGTCACCTAGCTTCCTTCCTTCCCTGGGCCTAGGATGGTGGGGCAACATTCTGAGAAGGCCAGTTTGAGCCACTGCTTGGGTTGGTATTGGCCCTGAGTCTGGCAGCGACCAAGGCTTTTTTTCACTGAGCACTGGACTCAGGAGGGACCTCATGCATAAGTGGGCCCAGCTGCCTTGGCCAGGCTCTGTCAGCGTGCAGAACGGGGTGGGGGTGGGGGGTCTTCCAGGCAGCTTCCTAGCTGCTGCTACGGGCAAGTCCCCTTGTTCTAGAGACCTGGAGGCAATGGTAGTTAGTTTAAAAGTTCAGGCAGCCAACCCTCCCAAGTCAAGAGAGAGCATCCCTACTGAGTACTCCACCCCATGCTGCCCACTCTTGTGCAAGAGCATCCGCCTTTGAAGAGTTGGGCAGGAAGACAGCAGAACACAAGGTTCATTTGTTTTGTTGATTGTGTTAATTTGCCTGTGGCCAGATGACCAAACTCTGGGAGATATTCCCTGTGGTGACCATGAAGCTGCAAACACCATACTCACTGTTTCCGCCCTCCCTTCTTTCTCTTTCCTCCCTCTTTCTTTGCCATTTATTCACTTCCTCCCTTTTCTCCTTCTCTCTCTCTGCACTTCCCTCTTTTTTGTTGGTTTTATGCTTTCCTTCCTTTCTTCCTTCATCTTCATCACAGAGTATGGAAGTCAACATTGTGAATCCAGTCTAAGACAGAACCAACCCACTGAGTTCCCTGTGCGTTCTAGCAAATTCAGGCTCTTCCTTGACTTCAGGATTCACGCTGTAGCTAGGAAATGCTAATTGCTGACTTACCACTCCACGGCCGCACAAGCCTCCACGATATTTCACCTGTAAACACAAAAACGCAAGTACTCTGTAGGATAGCCATGATGCAGGATGCACCACATGAATGATGGCGGGGTCCTAAGGCCTAGCCGAACGTAATTGCCCATCTCACTTCCATTTATCAGGCATGCGTCCCTTCTATGTAACACAACTTGCTATTCTGTAACTGCACACTGATCTAAGGCTTTGTGACAGCTCCTCTGTTTTAAGCAACAGTAAATTCACCCTGCAAAGTCAGAAAGGGAGCTTTTTGATAGCTGCTGTCAATTTTATTGCTTAATCCTGGTTACTAGGATAGAATCTGTAGACATGGTGTGTTTATTGGTTTTATGTATCACATGTTGTTACTGCTCTGACAAGCTACTCCTATAAAAATGTGTTATTATTGCATGTTGTAGCTCAGTGAGCTGACCCTGCATTTCAAAGTGTACTGAAGCAAATAGCATGGAAGTCCATAAAAGCCAACCGGCCTCCATCACGGAGCTGCAGCTCCCACATTCTGGTAGCAAATGATACCTTTCCCCAGAGCCAGGAGCTATCACTGCTAACTGAACATAGCACAGACCCAAACACAGGCATGATCTGTAAAATTTCAATATAGGAAACTGTCAATCATTCCTACTCGTCCAATTCCCCAATAAGTGTCATTTGCAATTTTGAGGTTTACACAAGAATGAGATAAATGGTTTTAAATATTTTTGTAGATTAGTACAGGATGCAAGAGGGGCAGCTGACACTGTTTTCTAACGGCCTTGAATGCTAAAGAAAAAGTTAACTTGAGTTACAATAAGACCGGATGTGATTATTTCTAAGCAAGTCACAACTGGGGGTCCTGGGTGTTTAATTAGCATCAATTGTCTGGAATGTTAAGAGGTAGAATGTCTAATATGGGGTGGGGGTGGGGGAGTAGTTAGCTTGAAGGCTGCAGAAGAATGGGCCAGCCAGTTATGGCTCCCAGATATCACCAGAATCATTTGCATGATTCAGTACCAGACAGACTCCTCTGCCCCACCTCTAGATAGTGGAATTGTGTTAGACTGGGGTTGGCCCTAGACCCTAAGTCAAATGATTTCATGCCAAATATCCTTCCCTAATCCTAATTTTATCAACCAATAGCAGAGTCAGACGTTAGGCTCCATGAGTCAAATGAGTTGAGGGGACCTGCTCTCTATTCTCTAAAACGAAATTTTGTAACAAAATGGAAACAAAGGGCTAAGAAGCCTTCAAATCCAAGGGTGAAACATCTTGGGTGTGAAGCCTGTTAACCTCTTGTCACCCCTGCCAGGCCACGAGACGCGGCTGCTAAATTCCCTTGTTCTCCCACCTAGGCCCTGCCTCTCCTCTATTCCCCTTCCATCTGATCTACTTAAACTATGAAATCATTTATTGAATAAGGCCAGCCTTGAAAAAGGAAAGAACTAGTCTACCGATTATTTTAAAAAGCCATTACTTTTCATGAAAAATTAAACAGTGAACTCCATTGAACTGTCATCTCCCCAAATTTAGATATTCTCCAAGCATCTGACTATTCAAGACAAGGTATTAGATCCCACAAAGGTAAGCAGAGGACAGGTGGCCATGGGAGCATCCACCCATCTCCTTCTCCCTGCATGTTCTTTCATGGGCTTTCTAAACAGCTCGGGTCTCCCTTTTTTGCTTTCTCTTGTCTTTGGAAACAAACTAAATATCCAATAATAGATAAATGACTTAATAAATTAGGAGATGATGTGAACAGATTGGTAGATGTTCTCTATTCCACATGAGGTGGGATAAGAACATTGGAAACCTGTTGGTATTACCAGGAATTAGAGAAATACAACTTAAAATGAGATAAAGGATTATCTCTGTTAGCCTGGCAAAAAGCAAGAGCTGAATAACAGCATCGGTGGGATGTGGGGTCATAGGAACTTTGTGCATGGCTTATGGATGTAGATTGGTGTAGTTGTTCTAGAACCCTGTGACAACAATTAGTCAAATTAAACATGTGATCCACAAATTCTGCTAAGGTATACTCTCCAAGAAAATCTCAGATTTCCACAATAATATTTA